TTATTGGAAAATTATGCAAATATGGTTGGGTTCGATGATGATATGTTCAATGATAATATTGAAGATGAAGAGCTCGACGCTGATTATATTTCTGATAAGAACTTAGGTGATCTTTTACAATTTGACATTTTTGGATGAAAAAACAAATGAAATGATTTCTAATAATTTGGAGCCTAAAGATGATGAATACGATTATGATATTGATGAAATCATTAATGCATCTATGAGTAAGGATGCATAAATTTTTTTTTACTTTTATCTATCATTTGTTATTGCGATAAAACATTATATATATTTTTTATATTCACTTGTATCTTCATTTATTATATATAAATAATATACGGTATATGAACATTGTTTTACCGTTATAGCTAAAATTTGATAATACCTTAACTTTCTATCAAAGTGAATTTATAAAAACTAAAATTTGGTTACTTAATTTGAACCATTATTGAAATAATGCCACAGTATGTGGAAGTAAATTTTTAATGAAACTACTGCAGTAATCTCCTAATTAATAACTCACATTAATTGCTATTTAAATAATACCACTTCTATATATCGTTTTACTTTCATCATTGCAGTCAGCATAAGCGATGGGTAACAAACTGGTCAATTCTTAAATTTTTAACTTAAATATCAGTTTCGGTATTCTGAAATATTATTAAATTTTAGAATATTCGATTTTCATTATTCGGAATGATGAAAATATTTTAGACATACCAAAATATTTTAGACATACTAAAATATTTTAGACATACTAGAATATTTTAGACATACTAAAATATATTCGGCAGTCTGAATTATTTTTGACAACCTAAATTATTTACGATTTAGGCAATCTAAAAGAATTTAGCCATTTAAGTTTACGCCACTGCCAAAATAATTTAGGCACCCATCTATATGCGCAATAGTAATAACAGTACTATCTTTAAACTCTTTCCGAATTGTAGTCTGTATCAGATGATCAGTTTTAAAATCTACACTTGCAGTAGCTTCATCTAATATTATCAATTTGGGATGACGAACTAATGTTCTGGCAAGTGCAATTAGCTGTCGTTGGCCTTGGAAAAAATTTGCTCGATTTTCCGTGACAGGTAAGTTGAGCGTTATTGGTTCCTGTTTACTACTTTTCAGATCCGAAATAGAATGAATATCTTCTAACTCTTCTGGTTCTTTTTCAAAAGTAGGATTGGAACTTTTAATCAAGTGTACACGACGAAGTGCATTCCAAAGTTCGAGATCGTTATGCTCGTTGAATGGGTCCAAATTGCTTCTATTTTGTTTTTTCAAAAGAATTCAATAATCAGTTTAAGGCTTTAATAAAAAATATATATAATCAAGATTTTGTTTACCTTATAGTGCCATTAAATAGTACGGGATCTTGAGGTATAATAGTAATATTACTTCTAAGGTCTTTTAATCCAATAGCACTGATATACTGATATCAACATCGTCAATTACAATACTTCCAGAAGTTGCTTCAATAAATCTGAAGAATGACGTTGCCAACGTTGATTTTCCACATCCTATTATTTAAGAGAGGTTAATATTCGAACCTTGATAATTCCCAAACTGGATCTAAAATTTATCAGTTCGGCCAACAATTCCAATCTTTTCAGTTGCCATAATATTAACAGAGATTCCTTTTAAAACTAGAGGACTATCAGGTCCATATTTAATTTCCAAATTTTTAATGTGAATTTCTCCACGAGCTGGCCACCCAGGGGTGGTCTGTTGTCCGGTGTTATATTCTCGGCTTCTACTTCTACCTTATCACTGTAGTAAACTAAACGTTCCACTGAGTTCATATTCGCTTCCTATTATTATTAGACATAAAAAAATTAGTAACGTAAACTATATTATTGAAATATTATTTACTCACCACTTCAGAAATGTGCCTAATACACCAATCAAAATATAAAGTAACTTGAAGTGCATAAGAATACTAATCCAGTAATTGAAGGTAAAATATTAAATCTAAAAATTATTGCAAACAAACTTGCAAAAAATATTAAGATATTTGCGATGATTTCAAGACGCACTGCAAGCCATCGCAGAATACATATAATAAGAAAGTATGCTCTATTTTCGATATCTAAAAAAGCTTCGTTATTTCTATTGTATTTTTAAGCATATTTTCAAGTGAGTAAAGTATTATATTAAGAAAATTAGATTAAAGATAATAAAATATCAAAATTTAAAAACCTCGAAAATCTTTCTTCGCGATATGCACGAATAATCGACAATCCTGTAAGTGTCTCGGAAAAATGGGCGTATAGCGATGAGCTTAATACTGAATCAAGGCCTGCAAAAAAAAAAAAAATTTTTAAAATTATATATATATATACAGTTAGAAAAGATAACGATAATTACGTTTTAACTCGCGATTAGACGCCCGAAAATAAAGAGCCGTTAAATAATAAAGTATCATAAAAGCATGTAAACACCACTATAATTAGAATAAAAATTCTAATAATGTTCGAAAAGTACGTAAGAAACATTCGATATGATTCAGAAAGTAAATTGTCGCACGCATCGACGTCTTTACTGAATCTGGATATTAAATAAATTTGAATTAAAAAGGTTATAACAAAAATAAGATGTTTAATGATAAGTAAGATATGTCAATTACCGATTAATAATTCTTCCTAAAGGAGTGGTATCAAAAAAATGTGTTGGCGCTCTTAATACACGTTAATTGCGTTATTATGTAATCTCTTAGCTGCATTGACACCGCTGTAACAAAATGCGACACCACTCAAAACACAAAAAATCCCTTGAGCGACTCCCCATGCACAATAAACACCCATCTATTAATGCAAATTAACAGTTAAATAATATAAATAAATTGGTTTGTCTAGTTATACTGTAAATTAAGACTTCATAAATTTTAAAGACATACATAAACTTCTACGGGAAAGTCAAATGTGTTGCTGCACCAGAACGAAAGTCATAAGTTATTTCTAAAAAAAAAAAAAGTTGTAAGTTGAACAATTTCCCGATTATGTGTAGGATTATATATGTAATTCAAAATGGTATTAAGGTATTAAAATGGTGAGAACATGCCCAATATTTGTTACTTGCGTTATAGCAAGCAAGAAAATAATAACTAGTATCAGTAACAATCCACCCGCATTCCTAATATATGCCAAATATATCTCATTATTCACTGTCCCTGTATATTGTTCTTCCGTTGACATTAATCCTCTATACAAAACAACTGTCTGATCTTTTTTATTTTCTTTTTCTTCGTCCAACGTTGATTCTATGTCTTCTTTTATTTTATCATCACTTTCGGCTTCACCATATTCAGCAATTAATTTCGAAAAGGCTTGCCCATTTTTCATTAATTCTTCATAAGTTCCTTGTTCCGCGATTTCACTGTCTTCCATACATATTACGTAATCAACTTGTGATAGATAATGTAAATAAGTAAACGCGTTTTTTTTGGCAAGTGCGCCTTGAATACAGTTTGTGAATAAGTACTTTCCAACATGTGCATCAACTGCCGATAATGGATCATCTAATAGTACAATATCAGCATTATAATACACAGCTCTTGCAATGTTGACACGTTGTTTTTGTCTGAAGAATCAAAACCAAATTTTATTTTTTTTTTTAAAAAAAAAAAAATCTGTGTATATAATTATTAACACTTATATGATTAATAAAATAATGACGTACCCCCGGATAAATTAATTCCTTTTTCTCCAATTTCCGTCAAGTCACCAGCAGGTAATACTTTCAAATCTGGTTCGAGACAACAATCTTTAATTACTTGTCGATACTTTTCTTCATCAAAATGTAATCCAAAAGTAACATTGTCCCTGAATGTAGCATTTTGAATCCACGCAGTTTGAGGACAGTATCCAATATTCCCCCCAAGTAGGACTTCTCCTTTGATTTTTTCATTTCACCAACAAGAGTAGACAATAATGAAGATTTACCAGAACCTACAGAACCAATAATGGCAATCAACTTTCCACGAGGTATTGAAACATTAATGTTACGAAGTTGAGATTTTGGAGAAAATGACTGAGAATTTTCAAGGTTTTCAGCCAAATCATCAGGAGTAAAAGCTATAAAGGTGTTAGAAATACTATCATTCGAAGTTGGAGCCTTTTCATTAGAAACAACAATTGAAGAATCATTTCCATTCTTATCATTTTTTTTATGATTTTTGATTTTTTTTTCTCTTTTCTTTGTTCTATTAAATTTATCATTAATTTTTTCAGGTGGAGCACTTTCCCAAATAAATTCCCATCATAACTTTAACAGCATATTGTTCGTCCGGATTGATTATCGATAAAACTGATAATTCATCAGCCTGCAAAAATTCATTTATTCGATTAATTGTTATATAGGTATCAGTAACAGAAGTTATAGCTATTGGCATGAGCATTAAAAGCATTCGAATAGCATTGAATAATGCCAAAGAAGAGAATACGATTCCAGGGTCGAGTTTACCCTAATGATGGGTGACGCAACTATTTTGGCAATGACGCAATGGTTTCGTCATGGTTTCGTCTGACGTAACTTTGACGAATGACGCAACTACTGACGATTGACGCAACTACTGACGCAACTACTAACGATTGATATTGAAAATTTCACGAAGTGCATGGTTATACGGCAAATTAAATGATGTACGTACGTCCGCAAAATCTTGCATCTTATTGGGTATATGCATATGGCGAAGCAAAGGTGTGAATGCATATTGAAACTTC